TGTTCAGTGGCTGGTGACACGGGAGCATCCTACATCCCCGGCCCAGCCGGCCCCATCTCTGTGCTGATGAAAGCCATCGGGGCAGCAGAAATGGCCGAAGGAGAGGTAAGCAAACCCCTTCTGCCCCGCTCAGTGCCCCTGCCCCCTTGCTGCCTGTACCCCAGCCCATCCCTCCCCCAGCAAACGGGCTCAGTGCTGTCTCTCCATCCCGCAGTATGTGGTGGACTGCGACCGAGTCCCTCAGCTGCCCAACATCTCTTTCCACCTGGGTGGGAAGGCCTACACGCTCAGCGGCTCAGCCTACGTCCTCCGGGTAAGCTCCATCCCTCCGTGCGAGGCGGGAGGGCGGCTCTCCCCGGGCTGGGTGTGTCTGCTGGGGAGAGCAATGCATCTCAGGGTGCAGCTCTCCTGGAGCCTCCTGCACCCTCCTGGCTCCCCTAAAGCAGCTGCAACAAGCCCCAGAATGATGCTTCTCATTTTTCCCCAAACCCTCCTGTTCGGCAGAAGTGTCCAGCTGAGCCAGACCATCCCATCGCTGCTTCCTTGGGTGGTTTGGGGGAGATTTGGGGTGAGCAGCAAAGAGCAGAGGCAGGTGGGGATCCTCCTTCCTGGAGGAAGGAACATGGAGGCCAAGCAGAGGGTGTTGAGCTGGGGATCACAGCCCTTCCTCGGGCACACTGCAGTACCGATCTCCCTCCTGGCATCTCCATCACCGCCTGGGTCTCCTCCTCTTTGCAGCAATCCCAGTACGGGGAGGATGTCTGTGTGGTGGCTTTCTCAGGGCTGGACATCCCACCCCCAGCTGGTCCCCTCTGGATCCTGGGCGCCAGCTTCATCGGGCACTACTACACCAAATTTGACCGGCACAACAACCGCATCGGCTTTGCCACAGCCCGCTGACGGCCGGGGGAGCCAAGGAGAGGGATGGAGGGAACCAGCCTGGAGGCAAGAGTACCACCGAGAAGAAACGATTTGAAGTGCAAACGAGAACGGCGTTTCCTTACAGCTCAGCCACCTCCTCTCTTTACTGAAGCAACTGCAAAACCTTGCCTTCTCCCACTCCAAAACCCCCGCGCTGCTTCCCGAGAGTCTCTGCTGCTCGGGAGAACTGAGCCTTAAACACATCTTCCAGCCAGCGTGTTCAGTCTGGAAATCAAAGCGGGATCCTGTGTCCGGAGTTGGACGTCCAGGGACTTTTAGGGTGATGTGCAATAGTACTGCTGGCGTGCATGGGTCGCTGCTGGCGTGGAGGTGCTCGCAGGTTGCAGACAGACGGAGAAGGGATCTGTTACAGTTTGTGTTATTCTTTGGATGGGAGAACAATAATCTGCCTGTGCTTAATGATCGTTTTAGCTGGTATTAACCCTACCCCTCTCCATGACTTTAATATTAAACAATCTCAGAGCAACAGGACGCTGAGTGGATGCTTATTCTTGCAGAAGGGAGAGAACTGGACCATGAGTGTTCCTCTGCTAGGATTCACCACGGCGTTTCTGTCCTTCCTTGTTTCATAAGAGTGAAACACCCTCCCAGCTAGTGCCACTGCGTCTACCTGTAGGCAAATCGGGGTCTTTTCAAACAGCAAAGGAGCCTTTTCTGCAGGAGCTGATCTGCCGCAGGGGTACCCATGCCTCAACCTGCTGTCCCAGGGGGGCTCAAGACCACTGGTCGCACCCCTGGGACCAGAGGGACAGGGCTGCACGAAGTCTGTGCTGCTCTTTGGGGAGGGGTTGGTGCTTGCAGGTCTGATTAAGGGCAGCTGACTCTGCCCCCCCAGGAAGGCAGAGTCAGGCCCCAGTGCCTGGATCTGTTTTCATTGCCAGGTTGGCTCCAGCGAACTCCTAGGGGCTTGTCTCTGTCCCAGCCATGTGCGGAGATGCTCAGCAGGAGTGTGCTGGAGCTGCAAGCCCCGTGCCGGCTGGCCCAGCAGGATGGGCAGACCAGTGCTCCCAGCGAGAGGCTGACATTTCCAGTTCTGCAGGAGAGCTGCGGTGCTTCCAGTTACAGCCCAGTAGCTGTGAATCCAAGCACTCCCCAATGCCAAGCGGTCTGCAACACGCTCTCATCTCTGGCTCGACCTGAGTGCTGGGACTGCCGTAGTCCACAGCCAAGCCTTGGGAAATGTGCCTGGAGGGCAGAGCACACGAGGAAAGGCTGAGGGAGCTGGGCTTGTTCAGCCTGGAGAAGAGAAGGCTGAGAGGGGATCTCATCAACACGTACAAATATCTCAAGGGTGGGGGTCACGAGGATGGAGCCAGACTCTTCTCAGTGGTGCCCAGCGCCAGGACAAGGGGCAATGGGCACAAACTGAAGCACAAGAGGTTCCAGTTGAATGTGAGGAAGAACTTCTTGACTTTGAGGGTGCCCGAGCCCTGGCCCAGGCTGCCCAGGGGGGCTGTGGACTCTCCTTCTCTGGAGATATTCACCCCCCGCCTGGACGCTGTCCTGTGCCCCCTGCTCTGGGTGAGCCTGCTTGAGCAGGGGGGTGGGACTGGGTGAGGTCCTGAGGTCCCTTCCAACCCCTGTCAGTCTGGGATTCTGTGTGTGATTCTGGAGCAGAGCCTGGAGCAAGCCACCATCTGAGTGTGATTGCTCACAGAAGCTTCTCATCCTCATCTCTGCCACGAAGTGCTGACTGCTGACGAATTCCCAGTGCTGCCCAAAGCCCGCGCTACCTCTCAGGCTGCAGGGATGTTCAGGAGAGTGATGCTCCTGCCAGCACCGAAACGGTTGCTGCTGAGTGACCCTTCCAGCCAGGTAGGCAGCAGCCTCGGCTCTGCTCGCCAGCCCTCCCTCCCAGCACCGGCACCTCGTCCCCTGCCCTGCCCCGTGGAGCAGCAGTGCAGCCTTACAGCAGAGGATGTGGCTAAGCGGATGTTTGTCCCTCCTGGGAGGGTCTGTGCAGCTGAGTAGCATTTCAGCCTCTGAAAGTTGGGATGCACAACCCTGGGTCTCCAGGGAGGGGAAAATTCAAGGCACCCAACGATGTTGCTTGTTTCTTGCCATCCCCTTCTGTAGCGCTGTTCCATCACCTCCAACGCGGGGGCAAGGAGAGCGGTGGCAACAGCTCTCTGGGCCCTGGGGGTGGAGGGAAGGGGCCCCAGCGGTCACCTCAGAGTATCTTGCTTTCATCCAGCGTTTCCTGAGCACACCCGGGTGCTCCAGGCTGCTGCTGCTCATCAGCACAGGAAACCCCAGGGGCTGGGAAGCAGCGGCCGCACAGGCAGGGAGGGCACGGGAGGGAGGGCAGAGCTGCCCAGAGACCCTCGGCGTGGGGATGTCTGCACGGGCCGGCACTGGAGCTACAGCCTGGCCCCTCTGCAAGCATCTGGTCGCAGGGAGATGCTGGCAAGCTTCTCCCCTTCCTTCCTATTTACCACAGGGAAACTCTCCAGCTGGAAATAACTAAGCCACCTCTGCCCTATTCCACACCGCAAAGGCTCTGGTCTGGAGAAGACTCGAGTGGATCTGAGCTGGAAAAAGCACCAGGTGATTTAAGCCTCCATGATGCCTTCTGCCTATAGCCCTCACCTGGCAAATGGTCAGGCTGGCCTAAAATAGGATGTTTTTGTGGATCCGGTTCTGTTCCTGTTCAGCGCAGTTGTTTCAAGCGGCGGGAGGGAAAAATGCCTGGGCTGCTTTGCAGTGCCACTCCTGGACCCCTTAAGCCAGCCCATTAACACCTCTAATCACCAGTGCCAGGGCAATTTCCTGGTGGCTGCTGCGCAGCCCTGGCTGCGAGGCACCGCTCACCCGCCGCTGCCCCGTGTTAACACTTGCGATTGCTATGGGCGAGCAATTAGGCCACGCTCAGCCCAGCAAAGCGGCGGGAGCAATTGTGACCATCCTATTAAAACTGGCAGAGCTCGCTCTATATTTAGAAACACGGGGAACTGGCTGGGTTGTTTTTTTTTTTCCCCTTCCTTAAATGATTTTCCCCAAGTCTCCACGGTCCATTTAGCTGGTTTCAGCCGCAGCCAGCTGTAAACTTCGGAGGGGGCATTCTCCACTCCGAGCCATGTGCAGTTGTTATTTCCTTCGATAATGGAGCAGGGCTGGAGCGGTGTCAGCAGGCTGTGGGGGGCTGTGCCAGCAGGGGAGCCGTGCTCTATCTCAAACTATCAAACCTTGCTCCAGCCCACCTGTAAGTCCCCTACGGGGGGACAGCACTAGGTGGGTGAGATGGTGGTGGGGCTGGAGAGGCCAGTCTAGAGGGGGATGCATCCCTCCTGGAGCCCAGGGTCCTGCCAACATCCCGGGGCACATCTCGGCGCTGGAGAGGCCAGCCCAGAGGGGGACAGGTCCCTCCTGGAGCCCAGGGTCCTGCCAACATCCTGGGGCACATCCCGGGGCACATCTCGGCGCTGGAGAGGCCAGTCCAG